ACTAAATTAGTTGTAATCGTTTAATCACCACCACAGCGTCTTGTCTCCATTGGCAACACGCACGATTTGTGTCGATTGCAAGTGACGTCGCAGGTAGCGGAGAGTGCAAGTGGCCATTGCAAGTGACTTCGTAATTTAGTTTCTTTTGTCTTGTCTTCACCACCTGGCTACTGTTGTAAAATGTTGAGAGATTCAAACAAAAAGTAATCAATAAATAGAACAAAATAAAAAATAAAAAAGACTGCAAGTGACATCGCTAGCGGAAGTGCAAGTGTCTGAGAGTGCAAGCCTGAGAATGCAAGTCTGAGAGTGCAAGCGCCAGCTGCAGCCAGACCCTTCTCAACAATTCACTAAATTGTTTTTTTTATTGGTCTTATGAAGTATTTTAATTTGCTGAGATAGTGAATTGGTTGGTTTTTGTTAAATATGAGCTAAAAATCATCACCATTAAAAGAACCAAAGACTTAAACTACTTGAGTCTGTGTGCATTGAATTTATTTAATACACGAGTTTCACAATTTGAGTTGAATTACTGAAATAAATGAACTTTTCCACGACATTCTAATTTATTGAGATGCACCTGCAGATCTTATTGTTCATCCATGTATATTTCTTTTTTAATGTTTGATCAAAATGTCATAACTTGATCTTCCAATTAATTATGTTGTATGCCGGACTTTTCCAGTCATTTACTCTGCTTAAAACCCGCCTCTTCATTATCAACTGCAAGCTTGCATTCATTTTTGAGTGCAACACCCACATCTCAAAATCCAATAAACAACCTATTTTTCCTACATTTTTTTTTTCTTTTTGGATAATCTGTTACACTCAAAAGTGCATCACAATAGACCTTAGTCTGGGTTGCACCATATCAAGAATGAAAATGAGGCTGTGAGGGATATAAGTACAGTGCATTTAATGGACTGTACTGTTGTTTAACAAAATACTGATTGGCTGACAAAACATCTTTCCGGAAAAAAAAAAAATGTAGACAAAAACAACAGTTTTATGGAGGATCTAGGACCTTTATACAGTGCATGCCATTGTAAGTTCATCCCTAAAAGCCTAATTTTTATCTGCATTAAATTCAATAAGACGTCTAACCTAACTAAGGTATATACGGAAGAAAATATTTTTATTGTGACTACATATTGCTTAGTTATTTGTCATACTTTTTGAACTAACCAATTAATATCTTTTCTTGCAAATGTAGCCTATGTATAAAAAAATGTGAGTAGGCTGCATACTGTCGCATCTATTACATTAGGATACAAATCTAAAAATGGGCTTCAAAGTAATCAATTCAAAATGGTGTTTAGAAATATGAGTCAGCACAGTTGTGAATGCTTTCCTAAGGGGAAAAGCAGTGTTCCACTGCATTTGATGTAAGATTAAGCATTTGGGATTAGTTATCAGACTAGCTGGCCAACTGGTCCCCAGCCTGACCAGCTGAAATGTGCCCAAAAGCCTTCTAAAACCATCAAAACAGACCAGCTTAACCAGGCTGGGAGACCAACTAATCACCTTAGGCTAGTTTAAGTGTTTTTTTTTTTTTTTTTTTTTCGCAGGGA